ACATAGCTTCTTTGTGTCAATCATCAATAACAATTATTTTAGAGTATATAACGAAACTAAAACCCATAACTAAACAAAAAATAGCATTAAATATTACAAGTAAATACAAAACAAATAATAAATATAAACCGTATCATGTTTGGGGTTATGTATAGTAAACTAATCCAAACATCATCACAAAATAATTGGTTGAATAATTATACTTCATTGACATTTAAAAGTTCTATGAATTGATTAAAATACACATCAAAATTGCAAGAATGAAGCAAGCACAAAAGACACTAAATCTAAAAAAGGCACTAAAAATATCATTATATGTTAAGCCATAGTAAATCGATTTCTTAAAAAGTTACATAATATGTCGCTTCTATAATCATACGAGTAGCTCAACACTATCAAAATATAACAACAAAAATAAATTTTATAATACATTAAAATTAATTTTATATAAATATAAAAAATCACGAAAATTTGAGACATAACAAAACTTTCGGAATTAAGTATATAGACAAGTTAAAATATAGTACGGAGCCATAAAGTTTACCCATCCCACCTTAGGAGACTGGCAGTAACATTCGGCTAGCTGTATACTTATCACTATATGTTTTGGAAGGCTTGACCGGGCAAGGGCCACGCTCTCACGGAATACTAGTGTAAAATAGCTGCTAAATGCTGCTATGTTTCGTAGGTTTATATGAGTGTAGAGAACCGGATACCCTTTTTACTGAACACGAGACATTCCATCTAGGTCCTCAGGGGTAACAACGCATCTGCATTTTGATTTTTAATGGTGGTTAAACTTTAATGTCTATGGGGCACAGTTGCCACTTACCATCAAGTGAATTGTGTGCTCGTTTGTCACTCTTATCCTATAAAAATAGAAATAAAACATCCAATACATATCAATTTAAAATCAAGTTGGTAAATCCGTATTTAATAAAGATATGATTTTTAAAGAATAGGGGTGACAAACGAGCACGCGATTAAGAGCAGTTAACAGGTATCCCAAGTATTTATAACTGCAGTGCGATTATTATGCAACTCAATTCGGCTTAAGTCCACCCGTTGGGAAATGGATGCTGTGGCCCATATACATCTATCCTCGATTAAGAATCAAAATGCGCGTTACCATATCTGAGGACTGAAATGGAATGCCTCGTTTTCAGTAAAAGTTTTAAACTCTAAAGGATATCTGGGCTGCAATTGATTTAAAGAATATGTTTTTTAGGGAACGATCTATTACTCTCGCCTAGGCAACCCAGAGGTACAACTGAATCTCGGCATGATTATACCTACGAAAAATTAAACAAATCATCATACCGTATATGTTTTGACCTTCAAAATTGGACTATCTTTTTTTCAAAAAGGATTTGATGAGGTTTGTGGCCATGTTTTTATGCTTTCCTTTTATTTTTCATGTTCCGTAAATTTGTTTTCTGTGTTTAGCAACCGCGGTATAACTCAACAACTACAGTAATCTTAAAAGGTTCTAGTTTTTAAATAATTAATTTATAAAAAAAAAAACAAGACTGGAGCTTGGCAGTGGTTGATTACAGTTTGTACCGTAAAAGAAAATTACCCTTATGCCATTATCCAGGGAGAAAACGGAGGAATAAATTCGTATGGTGTACACGACGCCCGGATATCCCTATAATACTATACTATTAGTAACAACTTCTTTTTATAGAAACTACATTCTACAAAGAACTAATATAGCAATTACTTAAAAGTTCGATGCGTAAGGTATATAACCAAAAAAATCGCCAACCAAATAGAAAACGTTACAGGAAATAATTTAGCCTCGTATTGACATTGGAGAATAACTGAAAAGATGGACAAAAATCCAAAATTTTAATTTTTTTTTTAGTAATACTCACATTTAAATATAATGCTTACATCGTTCTTGTAACACTTTTTTTGTATTAATCTAAGCCAGCCCTTAACTACAATCCCACCTGATGGTAAGTGGTGATGTAGCCTAAGATGGTGAAGCACACTGACTTAACAAAAGCCTATTCACTCTTGTCTTGAAGACACCCACATTGTAATCGGATGGAAAGACAGATACTGGCAACTTAAGTTTATTTAAAAGGTATATCGACGTGTGTGAGTGGGGAGCGGAAGTTTAAGTAAAAATATTTTATTATAACTAAAAATAAAAATAAAATATTCAAAAATATTTTTTAAAATTATTTTTTGAAATATCATTGAAGTGATCTGTTTCCTTGCCACCCACTCAAATGATCTACAATCGATACACTACGCTTATTACTGATAATAGAATACAATTTGTGTTGTTTCATGCTGGGTCAATTATATTTTTAACACAAATATTTTATCTTACTTTTACCTTGCCACAGTACCTGTCCCTCCTGTACATGCCAGACAGTCTAGCCATTCCTTATACAACTTCCATAAACGACACTTTTGAGCTATATAACTAGAAGGGTCAAATCCGTGCTAAAAATGTGTCGCTCTTGGACTATTGCGAATATTAACTGTGACATAGTTGTAATGCAGCACGGTAAAGGTCACGGTGTTTACATTCTTTATCTCGCTCTTTGGTCCTATTTTTGAATTCCAAATATATTACGATTTACAAATTGTGGTGTTTATAAAAAAGAAGTACATATTCTATATAATATAATAACTACTGTTACTACAAAAATATCATTATTTCCATCTCTCAACTATAACTATAGTACTCACTTAATATATATATATATATATATACTTTGAACATTTTTAAATTTACGAGTAATTTAAATTTTAAATTATCCTTTAAAACCTTTATAAGTTAGATCAAAAACAAAAAAAAATGTATTAGCCTATGTAGTACAAAATAACAATCGATTTTATACGATTCTGTATAAGAGTTAAGCTCTATTTTTTAATAACAAGACTAGAACAATGCTTTAATTTGTTAGCATTTTACTTTTAAGCCACAAGTTTTTGACTTGATAGAAGTGACAAAAGTATTACCTATATATTATATATTTTTGCATTTGTATATAAAGTAAATTAAAAAAAACCATAATACGAAGTTCTCAACCACAAACACAAAAACTCTAAAAATAGTTATTGGCCGATTATGGTGGCTAGATTATTATTAGATATTTATTGTATTATTTGTTCTGAAGAAGCACCCTCATCGTAGGGTTGATTTATTTTACTAGTTATAGGTAATACGCAAACTCTCTTCAACATATTTGTAGTTATGTTGAATTCTTGAAATGTGAACCAAAAGAGAAAAATTATATTATTAATAGGATAGTTAAAGAAGATACCGTACTGCAGAATAATATAATATTACGAGACTACGATAGCCAATTTTGTCGCTTATCCTACACCAAAATTCGAACATATAAACGCTTTCACGTTTTAGTGAGTTTTTATTATTTTATTTAAACCCGCGTAAAACACGTGATGAAGGATTTGTCTGTTACCTTAATATAACCCCAAATAACAGATTTTAAAGCACAAATGAGTTGTACACAGACTTTCTAAGATTTGAATACATAATCATTTGTTTGTATTAAGATACATACCAAAGAAGGGATATTATGAAATAATTTTATACTTTAATAATTAACTTTCTGTAGAAGTTTGGCAACATCGTAAAATATTGTAATATTATATATTCTACTATATCATCAGCGGTAAAACTCACTTTATAAACGTTTCAATAAAAAAATATAAATTCAACAATTTTATAACAAAAATACTATAATTTAAGTTGATTCAATAAAAAACAAAAATTCCAACAAGTTTTTTAAAGGTGTTTTTGTACATAATGCTTGCAATTCTTTATAAAATAATTGTAAATTCAAGGGCCTTTAAAAATATAAATAAATTTCGATCAATAACACATCAAGCAAATCAAGATGCGTAGATGATAAATATGAATACACGAGCGACAGAAGTAGATATTTGAACTTCAATCGACGAATCTTCAAATGTATTAAACATGTATTTTAGTTTTATTAAAAAAATGAAATTATATAATTCAGTGATGATTTCTTTTCCTTTTTAATTTGTCACAGTTACGAGCACGGAGCAAATACTAAGAGGAGACGGCCTAAGCAACTGTGCACTGTTATTCTAACTAGGTCCTGACGTCATCACAGTGGGCGTGGTTTTATTTAGTATACTGTCAGCATTCATCCTGTGCGCTTATGTGTCGAAAATCGCAAATCGGTGTATTTTCGTAGTATTAAGAAGAAAAAAATGAAGTGTTGTGTTTAATCGTGTAAAAACTACTCAGATAGACGCTCTGATGCTATGGAAGGCATCATATTTCATATGTAAGAAATTTTATACCTAATTTATTGAAATAGTTCTAAGAAAAATCTCTGCGTCGGTTTTCAAATATAATTAAATATATTCGAAACTAGATGGCGACACTTTCTGTCATGGGAACTACAAATATAAAGGTACGTAGAGCTCAGTATTTGTAAAATAATTATACGAAGGTGTTTTAATTTGTTTTGCATTCAGTCCTAAAGAATTTTTAATCAACAAAATATTATGTTTATAGTTTTTCAGTTATTAATCATTTTGTGAATAGGCCGCCATCTATCATCAAGGTAGCTAAACTAGATTGCAAGATCGATATGGAACGATGCCAGTAGTTTTACTATTTATCGGTAGATGGAAAATAGTTAAGTGGGCGGGGCGCGTTGTTACATAGTGAAATCTTAATTACAACACCTCCTCTTTGTATTTGCTCCGTAGTTACCATACTTACGGGTACATCACAAAGGCGTTAAAATATTGTTTTACTATTGATATAATATACTGCCATGCCGGAATCCGAGTATTAATATTACGATACGAAAATTAATTAAAATAAAGAGGATTAAAAGGCATTTGATGGATTTAAAGGAATAAATCTATGTCATTAGTAACGTATAATATAACTACTTTTGTAGTAAATTTGTAAATGATAAGCTAACTCTTTTTATTTGCATATCACATTGGATGTTTTTAAACGTTAAATATCAATTTTGATCCCACCCCAAAGACCTATCCACAGCCATTTTCCATTGCTTGTATCTCATGTCGCGTTCATCTTCACTTATTTGTGGGTTGTACGTGATACCGCTTATCATCGGTATCGGTACATGCTGGTTGGTGCTGTCTAACCCCCAGTAGGCAACTAAGGCCGCGCCCAACGCTGTGCTTTCAGTAAAACCAGCCTTAATTACGTTTATACCTATTAAATCCGCTTGCATTTGCATCATGAAAACGTTCGATGTCATGCCACCGTCAATCTGCAACGAAAAAAAATGTACTTACTAAGAACTTACTTTACTTAGTTACTGTGACATATTGAATCCGCGCTACTTTTCCAAAGACTTTTTTAAAGTAGTAAATGCTTCAGATAATTTTAGTTGAAGATGGTAGAATAGTAATAATTGTAAGATACATAAATGTGCCGGACGGGCGTAACTCTCCGGAGTAAATGTTGTCGAAGATACTCCGCGAGTCACTCACGTCCTACACCTATAGATTCCGGAGGATACTTCCACTGCCGTCTCTGTGTGTGCTGCTGGAAAACTGTACTCTGAGGTTCAAAATTAAAATGCACGATTTATAAATACAAATAGCAAGGGAGTGTGCAATCGGTTCGACTGATTGATTAGTCGCAAAATTTTATAACTATTATTTATTGACCACGGTTGTTCACTATCGGTTGGTCACTATATATTTCAAAAGATTTCTTTAAATTGATCGGTAGTATCAAAATATCTATTGGTAGTAGCTGGTTTTCTAACACTACTGACTAGCAGCTATTAATCAACTAAAACTAGTTGATTTTATCACTATATGTAACTGCGAATATCAGTTACCACTTTTTTTGGCTAGCTAACACTTTTTCACTATATGTAACTGCGAATTTTCAGTTACCACTTTTTTCGGATAGCTAACACTTTTTCACTATAATATGTAACTGCAAATTTTCAGTTAACACTTTTTTCGGCTAGCTAACACTTTCACTATTCACTATATTCTGCTGCTAGTCACTTCAGCTGCTACCGGATACTACTGCTTGTCACTGGTAGCTTTTCACACTACAACGTTGCTGGGTCTCGTGCCCATAAGGTAGACTTCGGCTATACTTTATAGTGAGCCGCTTGCCATTTTACGTTTTGCCTCTTTATTGCATAAAATTTTTACTATGCAATTGGCATAAATTGCAATATTTTTTATACAAGACTAATTTCTACACTAACATGCTATACATCATTAAATCGGCATTTGGGTCCTTTATTAAATATCAATAATGCGTTTAGGGCGGTGATGGGGTTGCCTCGGTTTTGTAGCGCCTCTGGTATGTTTGCGGATGCGCGCACCGACTGCTTCAATGCCACCATGCGCAAGCGGGCCGCGTCCCTGGTGCGCAGAGTGCGGGCCAGCTCCAACACTGTCTTAGCGATGATCTCAGGAAGGTTAGACTGTTATATTATCCTACATTGTTGCGAAAGGCATGTCGCAGACCAGCTGCCTCTGAGAAAGTATTGATTATTCTCGTCTCCTGTCTAATAAAAGTGTGTTCTTATTTTTTTTTTTTTTGTTTGTTAATTATGTATTAATTTTATTTTATTTGCTTAAATTATTCTATATACTGACACTAATGCTTATTGAAATTGACTGGATGTATTATTTTAAAATTGTTATCTTGTTGACATTGATTTATGTATTGTATTGCTTTAATTGTGTAGATTAATTTTAATTTAATTTATTGCAGCACAGTTGCCTCAGAGAAAGTTTTAATTATTGATCTCGTCTCCAGACTGATAAATGTGTGTAATTCTGTTATTTATTTATTAATTTTAATTTTATGTTATTTTATTGCATTATTTTATTTATATACTGACATTACTGCCTATTTACATTGACTGGATTTATTATTTTAAAATTGTTATTTTGTATTGAAATTGATTTAATTATTGCTAAAATTTAGGAGACTGATTTTAAATTTATTGATTTTACTGGATATGGGTGTAATTTGCCTGAATAAAGATGATTATTATTATGATAGGGAAAACATTTCTGTTTCTTAGCTCTTTGGCTAGTTTTTACTGCACATACGGACCGAAGCCAAGTAAATGCAGCATGGAGTGAGTATTTATGTAGGTTATGTGTTCTGGGTAACTATTTCATTTTCTTCCAATTGCATGAATTTTCTTACAATTCGACAGGTATTTAAAATTGCGGCTTTTTGGAGTATAATATATGTTGAGTCTTTCAGGTCTATTAATTTGAGGCTATGGTGGAGATGGTTGGGTATAACGCCCGTGGTGGAGACGACTATGGGTACTATATAAACTTTATTTTGTCTCCAAATTCTGGTCACTTCTTCTTTAAGCTCTGCATATTTGCTTATCTTCTCGCCTATTGTTTTTTGTAAGTTATGTGTGTTGGGTATTGCAATATCTATTAGGTAGGTTATTTTACTTACTTTATCGTGTAGTGTTATGTCTGGTCTATTATAGTGAATGGTCCTATCGGTAAGATTATTATTATTATTATTATTAGTATGTCATAAAGGTTACTCAACACATTAATAAATTAAGAAGTTATTAAGCGAAATGTCCCAAATTTTCATAATATATGGGTACATTAATTCTTTAATTTTTCTATAACTACATACCATATGCGTTTAATTATACAATATATTTCTTCACTTCCTTAATCTATATACATTATGCTAATTCACTCTCATATTTATAACTCTTTAGGAAAATAAAATTATTTTCAGTATAAACTATTACGCAGTTAATTAAAAACTTCTAGAAAGTTCTACGATACGATGCGCTGTGATTGGTCGATTTTTTCTTAACAATTAAAGTTGTTTATATTAACTATTGTCAAAACGACATTCTATACAAATATATTAAGAGTTATAAACATGCTGTAAAACTATATTAACAAACTATTTACTCGATTTCGTTGGTGATTTCACTTTTTATACAAAACAATATTCTTTCATCACTTTGTTTCTTAAAGTTGTTAGGCCGTCGCGAACATCTCTCCCGCCGTGCAGCGTCGCGACGATCTCATCACAGCGACGCTGCATCCATTCCGGTGAGTGACGTTGCTTCTACTTCGGCAGCGGCACGAGTTTCCTGGTTGGCCTCTTGATTAGGCCGTTTGCGGTGCGTATCCCCACAGTGCGGATCTGTCCGTCCGCACAGGGGTATGCAGCTTCCACCCTCCCTCATGGCCAGGTGTTACGAGGTAACTGGCCATCAGCATCAGTTTATAATTTCAGGAGGCGTAAATGCACTGCAGAAGCGAGCTTGTTCGGTAATAAACTCGCTGAAGGAACCGAGGTCTGGTCTAAGGTCGTATTTTTCGGTGAAGATTCTATACCACTGGGCACGTATAGAATTTGGCAGCTTGTCTGTGAGGCGTCGTAGCAGCTCTGCGTTAACGAGATAATGGTCTCGTTTGAGTGCTCGAAGAGTGACGACGCTTCTCCTCACTTTACTTGCGAATGTGCAGATGTCTCTAGGTGCTTCTGTACAGCGTGCTAATCCTCGTAACTTCTCGGTTTCTGCTTGCGCGATTGAATCTGGACGCCCAAATTGTAGCTCCAGTTCTCGCATAATCTCATCTGGCTTAGCATGCCCGATGAGTTCTGAGCTGACTGTTTCCAAGGACCTTCCGCAGTGTTTTCGATATCATTGAAGTAGCCTCGGGTTGTTTCGTAAATGGCACGGAACGAAAGCCACTCGGTATGTGCTCCACTAAAGATTGGCAGTGTCATTATAGCATTCGACGCTGCGAAAGTATGCGACGATAGTAATGCACTCTCTGATTTTGGTTTGTCAGCGAGTGCGGCTATAGCGGATGTGAGCTCCGATATAAATGGTCGGAGCCCCCTGTCTTCATTAATGACAGGTTCCTGGCTAGGCTTTTTTGGCAAGGGATCCTTGGGTACATTTTCTGGATAGGGATCTTGGTATGTGAACTCTGATACAACTGGTAGGATCCCCTGTTTTCATCAACTGTGGAGTCCTGGCTAAGCTTCTTTGGCATGGGATCCTTGGGTACATCTTCTGGATAGGGATCCTGGTTTGTGAGCTTCTTCTGCGGCTCACTGAGGTCGACAACCTCCGGGGGTGGCTTTGTGACGGTTTTATTAAATAGGGCCTCCCCTCCGGTGGTTGTGCCTTGAGTTGGCTTTGGTTTGGCTACAGAATTTTCGAGCCAAGATCGGACGTAATCACTTTTGAAGTGACCATCTTCATCATAGTCGTCGGATTCTTCTTCTTCTTCAGCCATCTGTAAGGAGATCTGTGCGAATTCCAGTTTGATCTTCAACACTTCTTCACGAGCCTTCAAAATTCTTCTATTGGGCCGAATAGTCTTCTTTGACTTCGTACTGCAATCGATGTGGTGGCTTCGGCGCTGGAGTCTTCCCGGGTTAGCGGTGATGCACGGCGAATGTCATCGTTGCCTTCTATTTGTTCCCTCTGCTTCAGTGTCCCGGTTGCAGTGGCCGGAACGGCCAGGAGTACCCCGAGGGTTATTTGCTTGGTATTAAGAAATGAATAACCATTTTAAAGATTCTTGTCTGTCTGTCTGGGCTAATCTTCGTAATGGCAGAACCAATTGTAATGAAACTTCACGAACATAATATACAGAGCAATGCTGCAATTCAAAGTAAGGCAACGCACTCCGCATTTTAGGTATAGAATAGAATCGTTTTTATTCAATATAGATTACAGTAATACTTATTGAAAGTTATTTTTTAATACAGTTGCTCAAAAAGTGGCGTATTGCAGGGACGTATAGCGTTCGGGATGTGGGCTATTACATACTCGTGCTTTTTCTTTACCTTTTCCGAACTCGTGCGTTCTCTTTCCCAACTGTCATAATAATGGCTATTAAAAAGAAAAAACCAACCACGAAGTTTTTACTAAAAAAAAAATTCATAGAAATTTTTATGATTCATGCAAATATTTCTAAAAAGAAGCTACTAATTTGTTTCAATATCAGATTTAATGATTTCAATTAATGAGTTAGGTTAAGTTTCATTTAATTTCATCTCATTAAATTTAATTTTCATTTCATATCAATAAAAAAATTCAACTGAAGACTTGGCTGTATGGGCATAGTTCCCTTTGCCTAATCAGAATGGGTGAAGAAAACAAAGCAAATCTCTGCTTATATTCTTTTACGGTTGGCGCCATTTTCCAAAAATGTTCATTATTAAATTGCTTCATTTTTCGCAACTGTATTAAAAATAGTTGTTCAGTAC